CAATGGACTGGGATGCCACCTTGAGGCTAAAACAAGTTTTTTGAATTCTTTTCCCAAGTCATTCTCAGTCCATAAGCTAAGAGTTGCGTTCGGTTCATTGGCGATCAATGAAGACGATTTTAAAAGTACATGGGCACTTGGAATCAGTTTGGTTTTTGTTTGCCTTATTTGAAGTAATAGGGCTTTTCCACCCACCATTTCATCACAGCAGACATTGAGGTGAAAGAGATGTTTATTTATTAAGATATTGGTGTATACTGTTTCCTGTCCTAGGGGTTTTTTTTTTAATGAATGCCTTCTGTTAAATCAGTGCCTTTATCTCCTTCAGATGCAGTCTTGTGTGCGTATATATATATATATATATATATATATATATATATATATTTCTAGACAGAGTAGTGTTATATTATTTATTTCCTCTGGCGTCAGTCTCCTCTACCCAGAGTTCTGTGCTTTTTCGTAGGGGCGTACGGACCCGATCGCATGATTCTGAAACTGCTGTTTGACCCCTTAACCCTGTGAATTCCTCGTTTTCTTTCTACATTTCAATAATCTGAACACAGGGACAGATTCGTTCACGATACAGTGATGGCGGCGCTCATGAGCAGATCGCTTTCTGCAGAATACTTTCTCAGGTATCATATAAGACTCATCACTGTCCAAACAAATAATTATTTTATAAAATATAATACATTGCGGATGGATCGTCGTGAGCTTTGGGAATCGATTACCAAATTATTTATTAGCAGACTTATTTGTAAACGTGCGCTGAACCACTGGACCTCACGTCGAGATGGCTTTCTATCGAGCGAGAGTGAGACTTAGCAATAAAAACCAAACGAATATTATAAAAATCAAATACTGCCCCACGAACAACTCGCGATTCTCTTTATATCTGTTCAGAAGTGATATTTTTTAATTTCGAAGTTCGAACTTTGTGTTATAGAATATTATATTTGTTAAGAGAAAGAAACGGATTCGTGTGTTTGTTAATTTGTTTGTATGTATGAGGTCAATGTTTTTTCCTTTTGGTCTTGTGTTCTTGTGTAGTTGGAATGGAAGCAAATGTATTGGCGTCTTTGCTATTGCTATTCATATTATTATTGTTATTGTTATTAATACTATTATTATTATTGTTGCTATTTATATCCAAGGGACATTATTTGTAGAGGTAGACTTTGTTATAATCACATGTAGAAGTTCAAACACTTTTCCAATGCCTTGTCAGGGTTTTATTTGATTTCTCCTGCTCCCAAAACACAGAATCAAAGCCTGCAACCTGCCACCAAATCGAACTGCACTGCCCTGCGCTGCTGTCTGGCATCTGCGTGTTACTTACAGTGGGGAAAATATTTATTTAATCCCCTGCTGATTTTGAAAGTTTGCCTACTTACAAAGAAATGAAGGGTCTGTAATTTTATGGTAGGTTTATTTTAACGTATAGAGGCAGAATACCAACCAAAAAATCCAGAAAAAACACATTATATAAATGATTTGCATTTCAGTGAGTGAAATAAGTATTTGATCCCCAAGCAAAACATGACTTAGTACTTGGTGCAGAAACTCTTGTTGGCAAGCACAGAGGTAAGACGTTTCTTGTAGTTTGTCACCAGGTTTGCGCACATCTCAGGAGGGATTTTGGTCCACTCCTCTTTACAGATCCTCTCTAAATCCTTAAGGTTTCTTGGCCCCGCCAGTCCGTCATCCAGTTCAAAACAATGGACTGGGACGCCACCTAGAGGCTCAAACATGCACGGTCAGAAATTCATTCTCGGCAAGACTTTTGAGTTCTTTCCCAAGTCATTCTCAGTCCATAAGCTAAGAGTTGCGTTCGGTTCGTTGACGATCAATGAAGACTTGAAATCAAATGGGTTTGCCTTATTTGAAGCAATAGGGCTTTTCCACCCACCATTTCATCACAGCTGACATTGAGGTAAAAGAGATGTTTATTTATTAAGATATTGGTGTATACTGTTTCCTGTCCAAGGGAGTTTATCTTTTCGAATGAATGCCGTCTGTTAAATCAGTGCCTTTATCTCCTTCAGATGCAGTCTTGTGTGATTCCTCGTTTTCTTTCTACATTTCAATAATCTGAACACAGGGACAGATTCGTTCACGATACAGTGATGGCGGCGCTCATGAGCAGATCGCTTTCTGCAGAATACTTTCTCAGGTATCATATAAGACTCATCACTGTCCAAACAAATAATTATTTTATAAAATATAATACATTGCGGATGGATCGTCGTGAGCTTTGGGAATCGATTACCAAATTATTTATTAGCAGACTTATTTGTAAACGTGCGCTGAACCACTGGACCTCACGTCGAGATGGCTTTCTATCGAGCGAGAGTGAGACTTAGCAATAAAAACCAAACGAATATTATAAAAATTAAATACTGCCCCACGAACAACTCGCGATTCTCTTTATATCTGTTCAGAAGTGATATTTTTTAATTTCGAAGTTCGAACTTTGTGTTATAGAATATTATATTTGTTAAGAGAAAGAAACGGATTTGTCTGTTTGTTTATTTGTATGAGGTCAATGTTTTTTTCCTTTGGTCTTGTATTCTCGTGTAGTTGGAATGGAAGCAAATGTATTGGCGTCTTTGCTATTGCTGTTCGTATTATTATTATTATTGTTATTAATACTATTATTATTGTTGCTATTTATATCCAAGGGACATTATTAGTAGAGGTAGACTTTGTTATAATGACATGTAGAAGTTGAAACACTTTTCCAATGCCTTGTCAGAGTTTGATTTCTCCTGCTCCCAAAACACAGAATCAAAGCCTGCAACCTGCCACCAAATCGAACTGCACTGCCCTGCGCTGCTCTCCAGCATCTACGTGTTACTTATTCCTTTACTCGAAATTTCAGTTTTCTGTTTTGGGTCGGGCGTCTAGATTCCCATTGCACCAAAGTTTTCTGTGCAGTTTTTGCAGGCTCCGTACAGTCGTGCTAAATCTCAGGAAAAGTCGAGGGAAATAATGCGGCGTCGCAGATAAAGACGTGTGATACTGACTACTGTATTTTACAGGCCTGGCTACCATATTCTAGACTTGAAGTATATGAGAGAAAATGCGAATTTAGGAATAAACCTCGAGTATTACTACAAGTTCTCTGCTTTAAATATGGTTTTTTTTTATTTTTTATGCAAGCAGTTTCAAAACTGGATTGGTAATATGATCAAAAACAATCCAGTTCCCATGAGACTGTGATTGGCTCCAGTTACTAGTTTAAACATTTTTGTGTGTAAAAACCTTGCAGATGTGTTTTACCTACCGTGTTTCATCTGCTGCCCGAGTACAAAGAAATCACAACTGAACACTTTAATAATAAAAACTGCTACTGATTGTATGTATTGTTGTTGTTGATATTATTATTGTTATATTATTAATGTTTCCAGTTAGAATTCTGTTCAGCACTTTTACTTTGAGCTTCTTTGTTTTATCCCAATATTTATGAGTTTAGATGGATCTGTAAATAGTGTAAACAAATGTGCCTTTTGACTCATTCTGGACGTTTTCTACATTTAACAGAAGGAATATATTGTACTGCAATATAATTTTTAACAAACAATAAAATTTTAAGAGTTTGTTCAAATTCTTGTCTGTGTCAGTCAGATTTATTTCTAGAAGCATCTTAACACAACTGAATTAAGGCTGCTCTGTGCCTGCTCAAAATAAAGTGTAAAGGTCCAATGCTGTGTAAAAGCCAGACTAAAGTATTCCTGCTCAGCCTCTAGTATCAAAGTATGCAGTTCTAATTGCTGTGAAAATGCATTTATGCCACCTCTGAGCAACATTAAACCGTCTGTGTAAAGACACCTAAATGCCACTTCAGAAGCGCTTCTATGCCACCTTTGTGGTGTAAATTTGGCATAGGTGTTTTTTTTTTTCAGGGGAATAGGTGAGGCATTAACCAAGAAATATCATGATAATTCCTTAGAATATGAACATGCCGAATTAAGGCTGCTCTGTGCCTGCTAAAAATTCAGTGTAGAAACACAATGCTGCATAAAAGCCAGACTAAAGTTTTCCTGCTTAACGTATGCAGTTATAATTGCTGTGTAAAGCATTTTATGCCAGCTCTGAGCAGCATTAAACAGTCTGTGTAAAGACACCTAAATGCCACTTCAGAAGCGCTTCTGTGCCACCTTTGTAGTGTAGATTTTGCATTGGTGTTTTTTCAGGGCAATAGGTGAGGTGCTAGCCAAGAAATATCATGTTAATACCTTAGAATATGAACATGTCGAGTTAAGGCTGCTCTGTGCCTGCTAAAAATTCAGTGTAGAAACACAATGCTGCATAAAATGCAGAATTAAGTATTCTTGCTCAGCTTGTAGTATCAAAGTATACAGTTGTAATTAAACACAGACACCTAAATGCCACTTCAGAAGCGCTTCTATGCCACCTTTGTGGTGTAAATTTGGCATAGGTGTTTTTTCAGGGGAATAGGTGAGGCATTAACCAAGAAATATCATGATAATACCTTAGAATATGAACATGTCGAGTTAAGGCTGCTCTGTGCCTGCTAAAAATTCAGTGTAGAAACACAATGCTGCATAAAAGCCAGACTAAAGTTTTCCTGCTTAACCCCTAATATCGAAGTATGCAGTTATAATTGCTGTGTAAAGCACTTATGCCAGCTCTGAGCAACATTAAACAGTCTGTGTAAAGACACCTAAATGCCACTTCAGAAGCGCTTCTGTGCCACCTTTGTAGTGTAAATTTGGCATAGGAAATGCCACGTTAATACTGCAGACACCTGAAGTGTTTCTGTGTTACCTTTGTGGTGTAAATTTGGCATGAGTGTTTTTACAGGGTAAAACTAATAGGTGAGGCATTAACCAAGAAATACCTTAGAATATGAACATGTCGAGTTAAGGCTGCTCTGTGCCTGCTAAAAATTCAGTGTAGAAACACAATGCTCAAACTAAAGTGTTCCTGCTTAACCCCTAATATCGAAGTATGCAGTTATAATTAAACAGTCTGTGTAAAGACACCTAAATGCCACTTCAGAAGCACTTCTGTGCCACCTTTGTAGTGTAAACTTCGCATTGGAGTACCATGGTAATACCATAGAATATGAATATGCTAAACATTATGCTTCTGTATTACCATCTCATCACTGTAAACGGTCTAAATTTGTCTATTTACGTATATTTACATATCACATGCACATTTGTAATGATTTTTTATTAATTTAATTAATGCACATTTTTGTTTTAATTAAAATATCGTTTTATTTCAATTAATAAAAAGTCTTAGATTGACTAATCATGTTAGAGGCGTCACACCTGTGCTTGAGTCACATCTGAATTTCAATAACTGTCATGTTGCTGACTGTCAGGTGATGTTTGTTTAGCGGCTCTCCGACGCCGCAGCAGGAAGAGCGCATGCGCAGTAACTGAACTGTCATGATGGGGAAGTAACTGTCAGTCGCAGAAGAGCCTGATGAGACATTTTCACAACTATTTGTCTCATTCCTAAAGTTTTGCGGTGCGATTTTTGAACTAGAGCAAACGGCGTGAACATGTTTTCTCGAAAGAAGAAGGAGCCGACGAATAAAACACCTTCAGCCTCCAAAAAGAGCAACTCTGCGCAAAACCCTTGGGTAAGACCAACAGTACTTCTGAGGAAAGTTAAAAAAAAGAGTTTAGTTTGTTTTAGAGTTAGATTCTACTACAGTAAACGTGTTTAAAAGAGAAAACATGTTCAATCTCCCAGAAAACGTACGCGTTTACAACATTTGCTTTATTTTAAACGGTTAACAAATGGGTTCACATTCATCCTATTGCTTTCATCAAGTAGTTCACAACAGAATTATGTTTAATAGAGTAAAAGTACTCTTTTCTTTGTAGATTTTGGACATGTGTGGGAAGAACGATTCATTGTAACGAATTGGGTTGTTCGGATGATTCATTTCAGTGAACCGGATCACAACAGTCGAGCGGTTTAGGACTGCGAGTCGGTTCGACTGAGTCATTTAAAAGAATCGGCTCAGTTCGCGAATCGGTATTGAAGTGTAATTGTTTAATGTTGCATATTGTTGATCAACATTGCTGTAAAACTGGCACTACTGAACAGTGCCTGGCGAAGAACACTTAAGAAGTACGTCTTGCTCTTTGTTTCGCAAACAATTATACCAGAAATGAACTGAGAGGAAGTCATGCAAGAGTCATATCAGAACAAGCAGCAGTTCCAGATGGAAACAAGAATAGAATAGAATTGAACCCAGAAGAGCTTCACTTTTTCTGTTAAAACATGATGCAATTCACTGATCTGAAGAACCTGTAATTACTTTCTTGAATCTCCTTAGAAACCATATGGTTGAACTCAGTCAAAATGGTTCTTGATAACAAGAGAACTTAAAGAGATACACAAAAATAAAAATTCTATCATCATTCACTCAGTCCAAACCTCCACAAAACAAGATATTGGACCCCATTGACCTACACAGAGACATTTTTTAAATGATTCAAATCTAATTTTATGTTCGTAACATGTTTGTAACAACTTGGGGTGAGTTCATTTTTGGGTGGACTATCCCTTTAAGATGCAGTAAAGAATTAATTCTGTCATTTTCTCACCTTCAAACCTGCATAATTTACTTTTTTTTTTTCTATGCAGAACAAAAGTAGTAATTCTGAATAATGTCCACTCTGATTGTCAGTGAATAATGACTCAATTTAAAGATCAGTGTGACCATTGTGCTAAACATTTACTTTTGTATTTCATCGAAGAAAGAAATAAAAGTGTTCACTCCTGAACCTAAGAACTGTTGAAGAACCTTTATTTTTTTAAGAGTGTGATCAGACTAGATATGAAACTGTAAGAGCTTTTTTGTATAATTTATATATTTATTGCTGGGGGTTTTGTAGTTAATTAAAACTAAAACCATGAAAAATATTTAAAAAAAAAAAATCTATTTCAGCTAGATTAATTTAGTTTAATGATGTACTAAAATTAAATCTAAAATAAAATTAATAAAAGCTATATTGGCAAACTATTAAAAATGTCAAAAATACAACAAAATTACAAAAACATTAAAATTAAATATTAAAATATTAATTAAATATATAGCATTAATTCAATTTTAAAACCTATTCAGAATATTAATAAAAATTATAATAGCATCTTGAGGATACTAAAATAACACTTATTTTTTTAGGTTTTTTGTTATTATAATGATCTGAATTTCTGATACTCTATGTTTGTCATTAAATAGCCTTTGCTGCTGATATAACCGCGTTAAATAATAAACAAATAAATCAGACTGTATTTGTAGATCTGTCTTAAACTAGACACTCTTTCAATCACCTTTGCACTTTGACCACCATCTTCATAACACTATTTCACATGTAGCATTAACCCTGTTCATAATATTCATCTCTGTAATAATCAGCCGTCATTCATGCTCCATCCCTCTCTTTCCATCCCATGTTAAACCCAGTTGTCCATCCTTCAGGAATACTCTTCCAATGACACTATCGATGGCCCCTGCACGCTGGCTCCTCCTGATTCGGGCCCCTTATCCTGCCCGGGAACACCGTCCTCCCACTCCAAGCTAACAGTGTGCAGTTCACCTGTCGGCACGCTGAAGCGGCCCTCGGGTCTCAGCCGTAACGCCAGCGCCGCCGGCTTCGGCTTCCAGACATCAGGGACCTGGGGCTTCCATAAGGGCTACGTGCGGGCCGCTCTCACCTACGGACATGCGGCGGAGGCTGCGGAAACATCGGTCATCGAGGTGGAGGACATTCCCTCGCTGCTGCGAGACGTCGCCCGCTTCGCAGAGGCTGTGGAGAAACTAAAGGACATGGTGCTGGGAGAAGGTAGGCGATTTTTGGGGTTGATTTGGTTCGAAAAGGGATTTTTAGAAATCATTTTGAGTTGATAAAATAGCTTTGGATGGTTGGTTTTTGTGTGTTTTGTAAATGAAGTCTGTTGGCCCAAATAATGATAGTTGAATGTTATGCACTTTCTGTTTTCAAATATTTTTGATCGTAATATAAGTATTTCATTGCAGACAATATTTACTAAAATTGCAATTAAAATATTTAATTATTTAATATTTAAATAAAAATTAAATATAATACTTTTAATAAATGTTGTAAATGTAAAGAGAATTTATTGTACACAATATTTGCAATTTAAAATGTAAGTAAATAAACGAATAGACAATTAAAATGAAAGATAATACTTTTTATAAGTAAACATTGTGTAAACAATGATTGTATATAATATTTAGTCAAACTGCAATTAAAAATGTTGAAATATTTAAATAAAAATAAATACAATATTTTTGAAATATTAGTAAATATTGTGTAAAATATTTTTGTACACAATATTAACTCAAATTGCAAATAATTTGGATATTTAAATAAAAAATAAAGATTATTGTAATATTACTAAATATTGTGTAAAATAATTTATATGTACACAATATTTACTCAAATTGTAAATGAATATATTGAAATATTTAATATTTAAATAAATTTAAAAAAATTAACTAATACTTTTGGCTGTAATATTGGTAATAAATATGGTGTAAACATGTATTTGTCCACAATATTTACTTAAATTGCAATTGGAAATATTTAAATATTTAAAAAAAAAAAAATTATAATACTTTTGATTGTAATATCAGTGAATATTGTGTAAAATAATTTATTGTGTGCAATATTTACTCAAATTGCAATAAAAAAATTGTAAGATTTAAATAAAAATTAAATAGTAAACATAATTTAAAATAATTTATCATAAACAATATTTACAGTATTTAATATTTAAATAAAAGTTTCAAATATTCTTTTAAATATTAAAAATGAACAATGAACACAGAGTTTATTCTATTTGTTGTCAGAAGAATTGTTTGTTAGTTAATTGAGCTGTTTATTCACTGTTGTGTTCATTGTTTTGTTATTTGAACATATTTCTGTGTCTGTTTTTGTAGAAGGAATAAGACACTCAAGGCCGTGTGTTACATAAATTAAAACTAGCATTAAGTAGCATGTCAGATGTAACTGGCAGGAAGTCTTCAGACTCCTCTTGAGTCTTGTTCAGGAATGGCCATTTGTTCACTGGGTTTCCATGGTGCAAGAGAGGAAGGAAGAGGAACCGCGCGTCACATGTTTTCTAAGCAGCCTTCAGTTTGAGATTACACACGTCCGCTGGGCTTCACCCCTCCACCTTCCCTTAGAAGTGTTTCTTTCTTCCAGAGAGAAGGCCAGACGCCTACTGAGCACTTTTCTCATGATGCTGCTGCTGCTGCTCATTGTGGTGATGTGGTATTATAGTGAGGCTTTTGATATTCCACTTTTAGACTTCATGTACACTCGCTTCCTGAAATGTGATCAGATATAGGAGGTGCACAAATTTAAGAAGGACTGTTGACAAGCTGAGATGCTTTGAATGATGTTTGAGATAGTAAACATTAGGGCTGGGTAAAAAATATCGATATCTCGATATTAATCGATTCTCATTTTTACGGAACGATATCGATTCTTAAAGGTGACATATCATGAAAATCTGACTTTTCCAGGTTTTAAGTGCTATAATCAGGTCCCCGGTGCATCTACCAACAAAGGAAACGTGAAAAAGATTAACCCAGTAACTTTGTTTAGGTAAGCCTTTTTCTGCAAGCGTCTGAGAAAACGAGTGCGTCTGATTTCGCTCGCTTGGTGACGTGGCAAAGGGATCTCATTATAATATTACCGACCATTAATCTGTAAACTTCCACTCAAGGCACCATCATTTTGATTTCGCAAGCGACAACGGTGTACCAGCTCTAATGCCATGGAGAAAGTTTGAGCAAAACATGCTAACTGTTCTGTCTTTGGCTGCACAGACGAGCACAGAACACTGTTTAGAGTCCCAGCCTCAGAGGAGACAACAGAGCAGTGGATTTATTGATTTATTTACTGTATATTGCTGCTGCCACACAGATCTAAAATAAACAAGCGATTTATTTCCCAGCTGTTTACCTTCACAGACATAACCCACTGTTTTAGTTTTAGTTTTTGTAACTTGTGTGTTTCTAACGTAAACTTGTGTGTGAATGAGAGCTTTGTTTAGTACTAAGCTTAGTTTGTGACAGCCGCTTTCTGTGCGTGTGCTTCGGATGTGTGCGCTCAGAAAACCGTATATCAGAAGTTTAAACTAATATGGTTTAAAAC